AAGAATGAATCACAAAGACATCACTTTATTGTTCTAGGGCAGGGATAGGCAACCTTCGGCACTCCAGATGTTGTGGACTACATCCCCCATAATGCTTTTACACCCATAATGCTGGCAAAGCATCAAGGGAGGTGTAGTCCAAAACTGCCTGTTCTAGGGGATCATGGGACGTTAGATCCCATTGTACACCTTTTATGTGCTTGATTACATGCAGGTGTGATGCCAGAATATTTTTTTTAAATTAAATTAAAGCAACATTACTACCAAACCATTAAGAGTATATTTATTAACTGAGTCTTGGGGGAAGAATTGTATGACACGTAAGAGTTAAAATATTATTTGGTGTATTAAAATACTCTTCTTCGAAAGTTTGACTGGAGCACTTTAAGAGAAAAATTTCCTTCTGCCAAACGTCTATAATTTGGCTTTGAAAATCACAAGGAACAGGAAGTTCCTTAACAGAGGCGGCTGATTACAAATCCAATCCCCGTAAGTAGTGTGCCTGCCAGATTTGCTGAATTCATAAAGTAGGATTAAAAGGAAGCCATGTGACCCAAGGTATTCTAGCCTGACAAACTAATCCACGGGTGCGATTTGGCAAAAGGTTCAGATTCTCGCTCGTGTTTCCCATAGAAATAAAAAAATTATATATAGGTAAAAAAATATATATATTTTTTTACATTTACAAAAACAGAGTAAATTGTAACCTGACATTTAAAACATTTTTTGGACATTGAAAGGTTGTGCGAGGCTCATGATGACCTTGGTGAAAATGATTTAAAATCAGTGCCTGCTGTTCAGACAGGCTGTTATTGCGCAATGAAGGCAGCTTGCTTAGAAATCACTAACGAGCCTCACACACAGTGTTCAGGGTCAGTGCGCGCACACTCCTTGCAATTAATGAACTATAGCACATTCTGTAGACATTTATTGTGCTCTGCTGTTAAAAATACAATTCAAGGGGCGTAGTATGGACATCAAGCTGCATGGACGGCTGAGTTTGGAACTCTGACCGACGTGCCAAGCAAATCACTTTTTCTAAGCACTTTACAGCAGTTTTATCCTACACTAAGGGGTACTCACCCAGCACTGATTATGAAGACTTCTCAAAAGAAACACATCAAAATAAATTCTGCAGTGGCTCCACTATTCTTATCGACTCACAACACTCAAACAGGGACTCAAGATGGCGCCCGAACAAGCGTAGAAGAAGAGGACCACAAGGATGCGGCTTCCGACTCTTCCCTCTTCTGCTCAGACAACACAGCATAAAACCTACAGCATAGGAGGAATGTAAGAGCCTACCAAGCTAAACAGAGATAAGTGCCGCGGAAGTAAAGGCTGAAATACAGGCCCTAGAGGCCTGCAACACATTCTTGATGAGTTGGATGTAGGTGATGGTGACAGCCCATAATGACATGGTGGACAGAACTAATGACTTACAGAAGTGTATGTGTACCATGCAGAACATGTTGGAGAATTGATCAAATCGGTCCCATCGAACCAATTTAAGATTAGGGTCTACCGTTATTGGTAGGTGAGGGAACTCTTCCATAGGTCATTTTAGATCTCTTCCAGCCCCTCTTGGCCGTTATACCGGAGATGGGTGAGGAGAGCAGAGGGAGACCAATTCACTTCGATTTCTTTACCATCAAGGTGGCAATCTTCTGAAAATGTCGAAGGTTTGGAGGCGTCATATCAGGAAACCACTGGAATTACCAAATGTTTGTATTGTTGAGTATTGCATCATGAGGGATGGGACATCAGATCCAGCGCTATGGAATCTAATGGGCTATATAAATAATAAAATAATAATAATAACCCTTCTAGTTCCGCAACATCATCAATAGTGACCTGTAGCCCAAACCTGGACACTTCAGTTAGAGGCACACACATGGGAAGAACACATAGGTTAATCCAAAGAAACAAGGGGGAAACTAAGAAGAAGAAAAAAAAAAGAGGAAAATCATAAACAAAAACTGAAAAACATCTAGCAATATTAAAGAAAAAGGAAACAAGATGATAATTAACTACATAGCAACAACAAATGAACAGAAGATTTATGGCAAAAGCCCCACACATATACAGTCTGGAACAGAGGATACATAGCGCAGTTCATTATTACTTTTCCAACAACACTACAAAGGAGCAACATTTACGACGCTAGGATAACACCTGGCTCATGCACAGGACTTCCTGCTGATAAGGACTTTACCTCCAAGGATACCTCAAGGAGAACTTTGACTTAATTTACTGTTTAGCTATTACTATCGCCTTGCCAGATGCCTTTTACTCACTTAACACCTAGAAATTAGAGGATTTTGAAGATAGAAGATTGTGCTGTACTCTCATGCTGTTGACCCTCTTAGAACACCAAAGGCAGCCTTATATGGAATTATGTCCCTCTCAACCTCATAGTAAAAAGTGTATTACTAAAGGACTTCCTGGGTACTGAGCCTATATCAGGTTTTCTGATGCTTTTTAAGGATGACAGCTACCTCTCTAACATACCCAGTAACCTGGGTAGAAGCCTTATGGGTCCTCCCAATGGTGTTAGCTGTAACTGGTGAATGCTGCATTTACTGACCCTAGGGTCAACAATTTGACCTTTATAATTTAATTATCCTTTAGGATTATACACATGGCTGACATGTGTCTTGAATCTTGTTGTTATAGTTAGTGGGTTTAAGACTGCTGTTTTTTTCTTCTTTTTCTCTTCTTGATGCTGCCGGATCAGGGACGTTTCCTGAATGGCTAATGGTTCTGGCCAGGGGGTTGGGACATCCCACATTTGACCTGGCAACGAGCTAGTTTATATATTTTGTAAATACTTTAGTTATTATTCTTTTGTATTTGTATTTTTTTCTGCCTTGTCCTTTTCCCCACTGCATTGACAATTGTTCTGGAGTTGTGCCGAGTAAATTTTTCCGAAAGTACATTCTCTATTCTGCTAATCCTACCCTCTTGGATAGAGATTACTAAAGCAGTCTTGACTCATTAATGACTCATAAAATAATTTCACTGAATGTGAAAGGCCTTAACAATCCTCAAAAGAGGCATCTTCTCTCTAGAGCAGGGGTAGACAACCTACGGCACTCGTGCCATGCACGGCACTCAAGGCTGCTAGAGCCAAACAGGCTCTGGCCTATCAGGTGTCCCAGTAAAACTTCAGATATCTGCTAATACGAAGAGGTGGTGAAGGACAATCCTCAATTTATGCATTGCAGCACCAAGAGGAAGTGATCTCAGATCACTTCCTCCCAGCACTTGTAAATAGGAGTCCACACTGGAGTAGTGCAGCCCGCAGCAACTGTTGCAACTCTTGTCCTTGACCTGTACCTGGCCAGCCTGGTCCCCACTGGAACCCAGGGAAGCCATCCACACTACTAGATATACACAGAAATGCAGAATACCCCCATACAAATATGAACAGCCCACACACAAACATACAAACAATCCCCACAAACGCAACACCACTTCCAGGTGGACGTCGGCGGAGTTAGTCACGGGTGAGGGCGAGGTCTTCGAGAGATGGCCCGTCCCACGGGCCCCGGCCACCCAGAGCGGCGGTGACGCAGGAATGGGCGGCTCCGACTTTACGCCCATCCCCCCTCCTCTCTTCTCTTCTTCCCCTTATTACCAACCCTTATCCCCCCCCCCATCCTCCCCCTATACCTGTACACCATTCCCCCTCTCACTTTCTTTATCTACATAATAGATGAGCCGGAAAATCCCAGCTCATAGATAGGTAGACGGACGTACAATTTATCTAACCAAAACTACACACAAGGACCTACACCAGATATGTGCGACAGGCTCACAACTGAAAAGTTCAACACAAACTCTGACAACATTAACCAGTGGACAACAAAAGCTGATAAGCTACGCATAGCACACACATAAAGGTATCATCAGGTAACCGTAACGACCTACTGACACACATTGACTGCTAACCATATAATGTATAACCAGCGCCTTAACAGAGGCCACACCTGACGACCAACACAGACAAGGGTAACGATAAGTAGCAAACCGATGGCACACAGCTCCCGCCTGAAACCCGACAACTGTAACACGGAACATTGAATGCATATGTACACACCACCTATCTTGACATAAACCATGGCAAGACTATGATTGTATAGAATAATGCACTCATTTGTAAACCGTGTTCCACCGAAAATAGGTCCTAAACTTCCATGAAAATGTATGTATTGAATTCCTTTGTACAAAAAAAAAAACAAAAAACCCTCAATAAAAGATTTTAAAAAAAAAACGCAACACCACTAACAATCCACATACATGCACACAACCTCACATGCAGCCTCTCACATGCAATACCCCAAACAGCCGCCACACACTACCAAACACACAATGTGACATATCCATCCACACACAATTCCGCAAGCAGCCCTCATACACAGCCCACATTCATATGTATCATACACGATACCATAAACTACTAATGAACATATACAATATAATAGCTCATATACGCAAAAATACAACGATACAAAGCAATTACAGTAAAAATAACACAAGCCGTAGTCGGCAGCATGCACACCTCAATTTAAAAAAAATAGGACCGACGCGCTACGGGACATCACAATCCTATAACGGCACAGTGCTGCTAAAAGGTTACCTACCCCTGCTCTAGAGAGTTAAAAAGAATGAAGGCAGATATCGCTTTCAGTCAAAAAACTTACCTGCCTAAGGTATCTCAAATATCTCTCAAAGACAGGAATTTTGATAGGGTGTACACCTCCAGATTATTTCAAAAACATAATGGCGTTTATATTTTATTACATATGAAATGCAATTACCAAGTTTAACAATTAAAAAGTGATAATGAGGGAAGGAATCTCCTTCTTACGGGGAAAATAGGTAATCATACAGTACACCTGCCGAATATCTAAACCTCTAATTCTGTAGATGAACACTTTTGGGAGGAAATGTGAAACCTAGCAGGTAATTTACTCAATTATATATTTGTGATAGGAGGTTGTAACACGGTCCCACATTCTGCAGCCGACTGTAGTTCATCCCACGGAATGTTTCGTTCTCAAGGAGTGGGGGTTCTGGACAGATTACTCAGAAAATTTCTAGCGGCTCAGGGACTCATTGATATGTGGAGGGCCCAGCACTCGGACACAGTTGATTTTAACTTTCATTTGCTCCCCACGGAATGTACTCACATATAGATTTATTTCTTATTTCCCATAAATTCCCGTCATTAGCTGCTAAATCTGAAATAAATAACATATCTTGCTCTTTTTCTTAAGCATTTTATTTAACCCAACCCCTGGGTCGTGGCGCTTAAGTGCGGCTTTATTGAAGCCTCATCAGAGGTTTAAAGAATATCAATGTGGTCTGCCCACAAGGCTGTGGTGAGGGGTCACTTGATCAAAATAACTACCTATAAAAAGAAAACAAAGTCACAGGATAAATTTGACTGTCAAAAAAAAATTACATAAAGCTGAACAAAGACACAAAATGAAACCGACTACTAGGAACCTAATGGAGCTACATGTTACAATATTATTAACGTGTCTATTGTTAGATGACAAGGCTCACCAGATAACCAGATTGCTTTGATTCTTCTACGAGAAAGCAAATAGGATGGATACATAATCAGTTAGAACCCTATGCTCTATACCTCACTCTAAGCCTATAGCATCATAGAGGGATAGTAGTGGTATTTTTTATCAAACCCCCATGTAATCATGATGATTTTGTTTTTTTAGAAATCAGGCCTTATATGGCATTGTTGAGATAATTTTATTTAGCAAACTAGATCTGCGATTTCCATCTTCTGTGCAGGAATCTTTGGGAACACTTATCACACAGGAAGAAGTTCTGGAGGCTATCTCCTCATTATAAATTATTTTGTGAGCATCTTAACAAACCTTTTCAATGACACAATAAGGAAGCATGATGTTCCTGGAGATGACCCTAGCTAATATTGTATTGTTATCGAAAGAGGGCAAAGATCCCACCCTACCTGGCAGATTACAGACACATTTCTTTAATAAACTCAGATGCAAAACTTTTAGCAAGAGTTCTTGCGACAAGATTAAATCCTGGTTTAACCACCTTAGTCCATCCTGAACAAGTCGGATTAATCCCAGATTGTTTGGTCTGTTAGAGCACTCGGCTTCCCAACAGCTTTCCATAAACCTATTAAAACTCTATATACAGGGTTGCAGGTGCTTCCTGGTGTTGTGCCCTCACATTTCACATTATCCAATGGCACCCGACAGAGATGCCCCATTATTTTCCTTCTCACTAAAGCCCTTGCTCCATTCATAAGGGAAATCCCAATATCCAAGGTATAACAGTGATGTGAGACGCCTTCAAAGTCACCGCTTATGGAGATGACATATGCACCTATGGAGGGGTTCTTCCGTGGTTTACTTTTGGGAGATAGAATCCCCTCTTAAGATGTAAGAAGCACTTTAGATATGTACAGATACAAGATTTTGCACATCACAAAGTAAAAAATGCAGCCAATTCCCCCTTGACTTTTTAGAAAACTCATTTAGGGTGAGTCTCAAAAAATCTTTATATACCGTTTCATTTGTTCTGACTACACAAATCAGTGAGAACAAGATTTAGGAGACATACTGGAGGGAGACTCCGAGGAGGACATCTGGCAGGCTTTATATGTGGCTAGGGTTTCCATTTGTGCCATGTCCAAAGATCAAATGTATAAAAATATTTAGAAGGCATACCACCGGTACAACTCTTCCGCATGGGCAGAACTCCCACCGATACCTGTTGATTATAATAGGTAATTAATTACTGGTGGTTATGTGGCCACGGTTGAACTTATTTTCCCCTCTGGTGGTGCAGTTTTGAAAACGGGATATATTGGTAGCAGTCCTTTAGATCCTTGGTGATTTCTGCTATCCCATCATCTAGAGGGCTTTCCAAAGTTGGCTCAAAAACTTTTCAATAAAAATTAACACAAGCGGTCAGACTAAACCTGGCAGGGGCATTGCTGGACAAAAAAGTTCCTTCAATGAGTGAGGTTAGAACCAAAATCCAAGAGATCCATTTAATAGATAGATTGACAGCGTTAGTTATATTACACTTCCACAGCCTGTAAAAGATTTGGACTCCAAGGCGAGACTATAACTCTTCAATGTAGCCATGCATACACTTCTCATAACACGAGCACTGCAGTCGATTCCTCTCCATTTATCCTTTCCTGAGCAATTAATGCTGATGGTTTCCTCTTCCTGCTTGACTATTTGCACAACTCCTAAATAAAGAATAATTAAAAAAATCAACTATGCAAAAACAGAATGCACACTGATCCATCATTGGATCCTGGGTAATTGAGCATCCATTTTGAGATACTCCTTTAAGCTAGAGTAAAATTAAATCCTGCTGCTTTCCATTCTCATGTTGTTCTTTGTATAAGTTATGCTGCCAGGATTCCCCAGTATTCGGATGATTTGGATTTGTCTTTCAATAAGTGACATCTTGTTAAGCCACTGCGTACAGTGATGCCGACATTTTTCTGGTAAGGGTTAAGAAAAAAAGAAATCTGAACTTCAAATCTTACACAATTACAATCACCCAACAGGTCTAAGCTATGATAAGACTTCAGAGAGTGCAAAGGTATCTTTAGTTTTGTCTGTTGACTTTTTTAATGCACTACAGCTCCATCCATTTATTCAATCACTTCCCAAGGGAGAGCGATTCAAACTAGGACAAAGCACAGAGCTGTATGTTTGACATAAACCCCTACGCAGAGTGCTCATTAAAGTTAATGAGAAACTAAGCAGGACTTTTGCATGCATATAACAATCCCAGGAATGGCTTCAATACATTGTTGACCTCTGTAGCAGAGCCCTAGTCCTAGCCAGGACTTTCCGCCGCTGGATCACCAAAAATAGAAATCAGGGACAAGATACTACCAAGTAAACAGCCCACCTCCTCCCCAGTAACTGGACGACACACAGTTCTTTGAGTACAACTGAAGTTTATTCCACCACTCAATGCTTTTATGCACTGGCCCCTAGCTTGGGGTTTTCACACCAAGAAAACATTGGATTCTTCCCAAGAGCCTTTGTGTTTGAGAGATAATTGGGCTCAAATTAGGATAACTCAACGATCTCTCAAACACAGAAACTTACATATAATTTTAAAAGACCCTAAAAATACAAGAAAAGGATGGTCGGTCGGCTTTCGGTGGTTCCTGTACGAACACAGACAAATACTCCCCCTGACTTATGGTGCGAATGATCCCCCAGTCGATAGATCATATCTCCTGAAAATCGTTTGTCTAGACCAGGCTTCCCCAAACTCTGGCCCTCCAGATGTTGCTGAACTACAACTCCATGATTCTATGAATGAAATATGGGCTGAGAATCATGGGAGTTGTAGTTCAGCAACATCTGGAGGGCCAGAGTTTGGGGAAGCCTGGTCTAGACAGTCGGGAAGTTAAATAGGCAGCGGTACAAACTCTGCCTGGGTTCGCGGACTCGCATGCCCAAAAATAGTTCCAGTCTTCGACAACCATGTACCGCTGCCTGTGTTCGGGAGACAAAATGGCTGCCCAGGGAAAGCACTCAATCGAAGGTGTTAAGTTGGTGCTTTGTGGTTAACAGCCAGGGGAGGTCGGTGTTCGCTGGGGCATAACAAGGGGACCACGCCCCAGTCCTTCGGGAGACGAACACAAGGGAAGAGAGTCTGCTACAACCTACTGTTGAGTTATAAATACCCTTAGAATGTGGGCATTTTGGGAAAAACCAAACAGTAGTTTAGTTATGGTGTTACAGCCAGGCATTTAAAGGGGCAACGCAGTCATCATTACAACTTTAATGGTGGCTTTTATTCTGGGGCTGGCAGCTTCTCACAGTCATTTATAGATGTCCAGCCAAAGCATTTTGCCACTGCTTGAAAGGACTGATAGCCTGCCTGTGCCAGTCTGGAAGATCAGCCACCTCTCCCCTCCACTGAGTGTCACTGGAATGGATATTCACAAAATGGCAGATGCCATGTGTACCCCCTGCTTGCCTTTGAGGGATGTACTCTGTTAAATGTCACCTGCATGACAGTCACAGCTTTTTGGCAGAACCTGAGAACCACGCTGTACATATCAAACTCCTCAAATCCACAACAGCGTAATGACTGCCAGCCAACAACTCCCACTACTTGAGAAGCACGCCTGAGCTGCTGAAGGTCGCATCGTCAGGCCTTGAAGGACACGTGCAAACCAATGCCGAACACTCATAGGTACCAAGAAAGGGGGCTGTCAAAGCAGGATGAGTTAAAATGTGGAAACTGACTGCTGACACTGGGTCGATCTTATACATCTCTGATGCAAGGTCTGAATCTTGGGGGATGGTGACCTGCCAAATATGAGCACAGGCTGAGTATTTGGCAGCATTTCCACCTTTCTGACTGATTTTTTTTTCCCCCCAGCTAACTTTTAATTTGATGCATATAATTGCCTCTCTGAACCTACTACTATAAGGGCCTCCTAACAGAGTGCAAAACAAAAGTACTGAGTATAAAAACGTAGCGGTTCTGGGTTTAAAAAGGAGGAAAAAATTGTGTATGCAACACTGCATGTAAATTGCAATTTACATATGGAAATAAATTGAATGGAACTAATGTACATCGTTTGTAGTATCTAGAACTCTGCATAAGCTTGATGGAAAATAAAGATTTAAACACAGACCATTTTAAGAGTAAACAGACTGCTATAAGTTACACTGTACGGAAGTTACACAGTGCATACTTTAGGTCAAGATAATGGACTTGGAGAATTTTCCTAATCTCACTATTTTCACTTAAAAATAAAACACTTCTTCTCTTGGTGATTCTTCACAATTCTTTGTTTTATAAATGAGGTGGTTTCACACTTTTCTACTCCCAGAATAAAATCAAGCTAATGGTTACCCCAGCTTAATCCATTGAAAATTTAACTCTTGATTTTACTGAAGTGCTTTATATGTAAAGAATGTCCCTCCCCCAAGCTATCTTAGTTTTGTTCAATGTGTTACACTAAGAAACAAGCCCCAAAATACAAAACAAAAACCTGTATTCTTAGGAGGTTAAAAGCAAACAGAACCATTGTTTATATACGGATAAGGCACATTTAATCCAGAGTCACCTCACAACAATCACGCACACAGAAGCACTCCACACAACAGACAGCCTCACCAAACACACAAAGCCAATACAATAAAGGACGCAAATACAATAAAATGACTAAGTATGAACTGCATTGATCATGCAAAAACATTTTTTTTGAAATTATATGCGGGGGAAAGAAAAAGAAAAAAAAAAGCCTGCAAAGTTTTCATGCCAATAATTTATTGAAGATAGCTGTACACTTCCAGAATAACCCAGAAACAAGATCAGGGCTTCTAGCAAACTACATCCTGGCTTTTTGTTTCGCTTCTAACAATACAGTATTCACGTTTTGATTCTAAAACAGGAATAAAAGGGGAAAGAGGGGAATGGGGATAAAAGGGGAGCTGGTGGTAAGGCAGGGAAAGAGGAGGTTGGTGTTGAGAAAAGGAGCAGGGTAAAATCAAAAATTGACTAAACATTTTCATTAAGAAAAAAATTAACATATTTACAAAGAAAATCGATAGCTACATTTTCTTAGATACAAGAATTTGTAGTATGAGGAAAAGAACAAAAAAACAAACAAAAAAAAAAACCTAAATATATAGATTTACAAAAAAAAAATTAAAAAATTATATATTCCAAACCTGACCCAGAATAAGGGGGGAAAAAATAAATAGGATAAGGGGGATATGTTGTGGAATATAATACATTACACTTAGTCCCTCCTCCCCCCAGCCCAATGGCTGAAGCAATGGAATAGGTTAAAATAACTCCCTCTGTTCTATGTTTTGTCATTTAACTCTATGTAAGGAATATTAATGCAATCGGTTTTTAAAATGACCCTCCAACACATAAAGGTCCCAGACTGCAATTAATCACTTTCCTATGGTGGGATGCAGGTAGCTTGCTGGATGTAACTATGGCCTAAAAGGTGGTACACCCAACTCCTGTTTAAGGGTAACCAAAGGATAGACGTTTGACGAAGCATCGTTTGAAACCTGTAGAGCATGGGTCATCAAACATCATGAAACACTGGGAAACAGTGCTGCATAGCAGTATGTTAAACATGGAGACTAAAACCGGCTCATAGCAGCAAGCATTGAGACTGTATCCCTTCAAACAGGCTAGGTGAATTATCCCAACAAACAGGATCTATTCTGCACTCTAGAGTTGAATGTTCCAGACCAACATGCCCAACCAGAATATTAAAAACATATAACATCCTAAAATACCAAGGCGATAAAACCTTAAAAACAATCAGGTGAAAGTACTCTGCAGAAGAGCAATGGCCGTGTGGCATAAAGCACGGCACTGGTTTAGAAGAAACAAACATTCTGCCATAACAGAGGCACATGCCATGTTCCTTCTTTACCAAGGAGACTGGTATTTCGCAATATCATGTACCCTTAGAACCAACAGGGTTATTTAAGGTCTTCTCGGCCTTGCTACAGAGCATGGCGCAAACTCCAAAGTCATTGGAGTAACAATAACAAAGTACACATAGGATTGGGTCTCGGAGTCCATGGAGCCTGGAGCTCTGCATCCCTCACATGCCCTGTATTCACAAATTGCCTATCAGGGGGAAGGGGTGAGCAGTGCTCAGACAGTAAGCTCAATTCCCAGCATGCTCTACTACACACCTGGCACACAAATATGACATCACATGCTCAGATGATGCAGTACAGCAGGAAACAAAAAGAGAGCAAAGGAAAGAGTTGCCTTAAACAGATCAAAGGACCCCAAGCCAGAATAGAAGAATGTGAAGGAGGGGAGGTGCAACAAATACGTTGTGTGCACAGCTCCCCTCCCCCCATCACATTAAGTCACTGGCCTGAATTCACATTACTGATCCAGTCAATGCCAAGTTGTAACTGAAAACACATTGTGCAGTAGGCCATGAAATGTGGAGCTGGTATCACAGGCACAGAAATAATTAACACCTGAAAACTTTCCAGACATATCTAAATCAAAGCTAGAACAATTTTAGGACAGTCCTCTTTCAAGATCGCTTGATGTGCGGACATGACTTGCGGTAAATCTGAAGGCTTCTTGCTGTTCCGTTCTTTAGAATTGATGGATTGGATTACCTTTCTTTGCATAACCTGGTCACCCTCGAGAGTGACATCAGGTAGTCATTAAAGGAGGGCTGCCCTAGTTTTAGGAGTAGAATTAAAATACGAGAAAAACATAAAATGAAACCCATTGCAACAGGGAGAAAGCATTATTGAGGTCAATAAGATCCACATACATCTAGGAACCTGTTAAAACAATGGGTTATAATCAAGTAGCTTGAAATTAACATGTAAATGAAGTTCTGCAGCATGATTAAGAGTCTGTAATATACAGCTAACCAGGCTCAGTACTGAGCTACGATGTTACACATGATGACCTCGAGTCATGTTCGGCATTAACGCTCCCATTCCACCTTCTACTCCAGTCACTAAGCAGCAGTTAGGTCGTGGACTTTGTTCCACGCGGCAAGTGGGCGACAGGCAGCTTACACTTGCACTAAATGCATACTCAAAACAGTAGGAGAGCAAGGGCTTATAACAGCTTCACTTAGAATACAGTTGGTAGATTCCAATGGTTTTCTCTTCTAGAACGCTATGATAGTTACTCCTACTATAGTACTGAAAGTTAGAGCTTTGAGGAGTTCCCCAAAACATCCCAATGGTGAAAGAAAAGAAAAGAAAAAAAAACAGAAGACAACGCAACATGGATAAGGAGGCATTTTCTTTTTTAAAATAACCCATGTTTTGTTCATTTGCCCAATTTAAAAAAAAAAAAAAAAAAGTATATATAAATTCCAGACACCTGTACAACATGTGCGAGGTCCGTTTGAAGCCAAGGACAAATTAAGCATTTGAGGGGTTGTGGGTCAGTCTCCACCTCTCAAACACCAGAACAGCAGAGCTGGTAAAATATTCTGGTTCCTATTTTAAGCCCTGTATCGCCGAGTTGGTCAGGGCAGTTCCTTCCTTTACACAGAATGGATACTTCGGCCAAGTGAGAGGGAGTCATGGTCTCAAACTGGTGGAAGGTGGCTCTCATCCATCACTGCGACATGTATGACATTTCTAAAGGTCATCAAAAGTCAGTAATGGGGGTGCAACAGGCTCTGAATGGAAAAAGCCCCACTGTCCACTTCAAATGATCACATCTCCCTTAAGTATTGAGGTGTCAGAGGGGAGAGAGAGGTTTGCTAGGAGCTGGAGAGTAGAGCGGGGCAGTTTTGGAAAAGGGTAGAATAGGGGGTGTGAGGGAGGCACTCCTCAGGAGGTACTCAGCTCTGCCACATCACCAGGTTCCAGTCGGTCTGATCCAGGCCTTCCATCACCTAGCAAAAATAAACACGAGCGTTAACGCTGAGCAAAAGAATGGAGCAGGCAAGTTAGATCACATTTAAAAAAAATTTTTTTTTTTTAAATTAATATAATCCCATTATCACAATCTCCAACATAAAGACACTGGATGCTCACTGAAACAAAATTTTAATGGGATAATCACGGGTAAGGATAATGACAGGTGCCAGAGTGACACCATTTGAAAGAATGTGTAGTAGAAAAATGAAAGCTTGAGATAAAATTCTTACATTATTATTGTTTTACCAAACCATAGAAAGGGAGAAAGATATGGATTGGTTTTTGAAGGTGAAGATTGGTTGGATGTACAGGAAGTGGCAACTAAGGTATCTGTGTGTATTCATCATCCAGAACATTTGTCTCTTGGTACATGACCCCAGTATAGCTGGGATCTGTGGGCTAGAATTCTATGGAGAAGTCTAGCGCATCTATACTGAATTCTCACTCCAGCAATACCAGTTTTGTCAAACTGTGGACATAATCTACTGGATGAGGACTGTCAGCCACTACTCTGAGCCAATCAATTCTGCTCAAAGCCTGATGGAATTAAGATCTCGAATGCAGAAGTAGCAATTTCTAGTTTGGCGATGGATATATGTGAAAATGACCAGATGGGAGCATCCAATAGATTCAGTTGGTGTCTGACAGTTCAAAGGCTGTTTCACTATAACAGCGGGAGGACGCCAAGGAACTCCTGACACCATAATCACTACAGAATGTTGCAGTGGTCATGGTGCTTAGAATTACCTCTTTAAAGATCCTGGTGTAGAACCTTTATCCAGATAAGTCAAAACATTTAGCAAAAACATGTGATGTACGATTAGACACATTGATTAACCTACAGGCACTTATCACAGATTGATACGCATATAAGGTTGTTTGAGCAAACTCATTTTTAAATAGAACAGGCAGTTTGTTTAACAATCAAGACCATCAGTCTATTAATACACGCAAGTGACCCATACACAGTAACAGAAGCCATGAAGACAAGCAAATTACTAAACAGACAAAGATACACACCCCTTTCCATTTAAAAAGAACTTTTAAGTATGAATTCATCTTAAAACAGTGTGCCATAGAACTTCTAGGCTACACCATTAAATATGTGCATCAGTCACCTACCGTGCAAGTGGGACTGCTGCAGATGTGGGGGTATTAGGATGGAGTTCAGTGAAGGCTGAATGGAAAGCTCTGAAAAGTGACAAGGACAGAGTTTGACACAGACAATGACTCCACTTCTTCAGCAAAATGGAAACCAACCCCTTTATCTTTTTATCCCCTTCAAGAGATTACGTCAGCAGTTAACCTGACCAAGTTCAATGCTTACACTCACCGACAGAGCTGAAGTTGAAAATAGGAGGCAATTCCCTCCCACTAGGGAGACGTGTGTTGGGGTCACGCAGTTCATCAAAGAAGGCGTGTGCACAAGCCTGTAACGGGGAAAGACGCGTGTCCGGTGTGTATTCCAATAGTCGACTGCACAATGTGACAGCTTCAGGGGCGGTACGAGGTTTAAAGACCTGCAGAAAACAAACATTCAGCACTCACAGAGTCCAGCTACTGGTCTACATTTTTCTAGGTCACATGCAAATACCTTTATCCATGGGTGTGCTTTAATCTGTGGGAATTTGAATTCTGTGTAATTTGGGTTCATTTCTCGGATTTGTTCCCTTGTTGGGGTTCCTAAAACCTGTTAGCAGAACATAAAAAATGATATAATAGACGTCAGCATGACCATACCCCTGAAACTTCCTCAACTTGCACCCAACAGTGTCAATACAAGACCAAAAAAAATTAAAAAAATCCAACCCTCAAAATAAGCAGCTCAATTTTTTTCCCTCTCAATCTCTTAACATCTCATCTTAACAAAACCAAACAAATACGTGCTTACGCCTTCTCTTCCAAATTTGATCTTCCTCCACACAAGTACTGGGAAACTTAATTTGCTCAGCCCACCCCCCTCTCCTCCCCCCAGATCAGAGGAATATGTGCTGTCAATCACTTCTGTGAGTAATAGATTTCATTCACAATCTTCTACACTAGGAACATGCCTTAATCAGTCATGCTTCAATGGTGGGCTCCTTTGTCTTGCCATTGAAGAATTTTTATCAGAGACTATTTCAGGAAAATCACAACATGGGACTTACCTTTATAATCTCCACCAGCTGGTCCACTCCACTATCCCCAGGGAAAATAGGCTGCCCCAAGAGAAGCTCTGCAAGGACACATCCTGCCGACCAGATGTCTAAAGCAAAATGAGCAAAGATGAAATGCTCACATACAAAACAAGTTACATCGCAAAAAACACGTAGGCCGCAAACCAGCAGAACCGGTCAGTCTGAGCAGTCATGCATTCTGGGACACTAAGCACCAAAACCACCTTAAATATAATGCTTTTGGGGAACAAATGCAGCCCCTTTGTCCTAGCAATGTTAAAGCCTTGTCATTTGAGTCAAATGACAGTTTACATTTTGCTGAGAGCACAATAGTGGAGGTCACACAAACAACCACTAGAGACACTTCCTTCTTATTAGCTTTGATTTTCAAATGTCTTCAGAGTTTGGTGTCATGATGCACATTATGATGCTAAATATGCCCGATATTGCTCACAGAGGAATACTGGATTCAATGTTTCACTATGAGAACTACTGGACTGGTGGTGATTTCCTCCACAAGAAGATGGAGCTGCTGCAGGAAGGATACATTATATACAAATTTAATAGCATTAGATAGTTTTAAAAATGAAAGGGCGGGGGAGCCTGAACCCAAGTACAGGGGGACACAACTTCTCAATAAAGTTAAAAAAAATTAAAAAATAAAAAAAAAAACAGTAATCCCTTTCAATACTGGTTACTGAGAATAGAATCCCCACAATTATAAAAATAATGTTTTAGCTCAGTTGAGAAGTTGCTCTTTGGAGGAATCCTTTTTGGTACTTTGAGCAGTCCATCCTTTAGTTCTAGTGTTTCCAGCAGTGAATTCAGGCAACAGTAGAGACTAGCAATAGGCAACTGCATTCATATTAATGTTGGGTGAAAGCACTGATGGGTCTGGAGCAGTAGGTCAGGGCTGTACAAAACATTACTTTAACAAACTAGCATACCTTGTATTTATAGAAAGGGATTCCATTTGGATTGTACTTATTTGCATTCCTTAAGTGTCCGCTTTATAGAAGAACGGCACATGGGCCACAAGAAAAGATTCCTAGCACTACATTTCCAGTCTATGTATTAGAAAGCATTATTGGAGTAGCAGTCCAACAGCTGAAATGCTCTGTTTGGACATCCTGAAACTAGACTGAGGACTTGCAATCCTTACTCCCTCTACTGCGATTCCCCTAGCATTAAGGGTTTAGTTACTCCACTTACACGCAGGAACAAAAAATAAACAAACAAAAAAAAAAAAGAATAGAGAAGGCATGTTACCAATGTTCGCAGTGTAGTCTGTGGCTCCAAAGATGAGCTCGGGGGCACGGTAATAACGGGAACAGATATAGGACACGTTTGGTTCCCCTCGGACTAGTTGCTTTGCACTGAAAGAGATTACAAATGATGGCCGATATTGGAGGTAAAATAGCTGCATAAGAAAGTCATAATGGTCAAAGATGGTAAACCAATGGTGTTACTATGTATGTCTACAGGGTTATCATCAACAGAGGAGGCCCAATTAAATGTAGTAAGACACATGCATACTTCATAGTAGCGCTACAGATTGGGAGCTACAAGGGGAATCTGGCATGGAAATGGGAGGCAAGTAAAGTAGACAGAGAAAGAGGGGGACCCTTAATGAGATAATACAAAAGAGCCCATTTCACTCCTTTAACTTTTTACTTAAGTTTAACTCGACTTGGCATTAGGTCCCAAAACCATTCACACCAGTGCCCTAGGCAAGGCATGTTCACCAAAAACCAGAATAGATAAATAAATCTACAATGGCATACCTTTCTTTAGGTGATTAGTTGTAAACACATTAGTGCAGGAATACTACTTATAAAGTTTGTTATATATAAAAAAAAAGAAAGAAAAATAAGCGCACACTTCCGCCAGGAGTACATTGTTTCTGCTAGAAGCCAATGACTGTTCTGTTGGTATGTTATCTGTACCTGCTAAGTAATTGTGCCAAAGCCTAATCTTTCTTTGATTTGCCTTACTCTGCAACCCCCCACCCCCCTTTTTCATTTAAATAAATAAAAAAAACAAAAACATCCTAGCTATTAATTCACAAACTGTAAAAGGGTAACCGTGTGTGGAGAATAGAATGTGAGTAACAGAGCAAGCCCCTACCAAACGTCATCCAGGCCTCACCTCCCAAAGTCACATAGCTTCAGTACAGCTGTGTCTGGGTCTACCAGGAGATTCTGTGGTTTGATGTCCCTGTGGCAGACACCCTGGGAGTGGATATAAGCCAAGCTGCGGAATAGCTGATACATGTATACCTGCAAGAAGAAATGAGAGCACAAAACTTATATAAATAAAGTGTGTGTGTGTGTGTGTGTGTGGGGGGGGGTGCATTTCCATTCTAAAAGTTAGTTTCATTTACCTTCACATAGATGGATGGCAGCGTGGATTTAGCTTTTGCAAAGTGTCGAGCCACACGATAAACATTCTCTGGGACAAAATCCATGACTAAGTTCAAGTATACTTCATCCTTCTGTAAGAGGATACACACATTACATGGTATGAGCCTTACATTAAAGTACTAGTTCAGCATGAACACAGAACCAAACATGGAGTTCTGCCAAGGTCAGACAGAAAGTGATGCATTAGTAGCCCAATGAATTATGGACCTTGCTTTGAGGACACACTTTAGGCAGCAACACAACTTTACCCCCTACGTCATCATCTTAACCATGCAAGTGAAGACATTTCCATTATGCAGAACAGCAGTGTTTTCATTGCAGGATTTAAATGCCTTTAGTGGCAGTCATTCAAACAGCCACTGCAGGAGCTTCCTCTGAAATGGAGTTAAACATTCTCCCAAGAACATGCACCTTAAACCCCCTGCCCCCCCAATGCACGCTCAATGAAATCAACCAAGAAGGCGCGATGGCAGCATGGAGACTGATGCTATGTGGAAGAAAAGTTAAGTATTGATTTTTTTTCCACTCCCAAGTGAGGGATGGCGACCAAAACAAAAACTCCAGGGCACTATAGCTTAAGACAAGCATAAGCAACCTTCGGCACTCCAGAGGTTTTGGACTACACCTCCCATGATGCTTTGCCAGCATTATGAGTGCAAAAGCATTATGGGGGATGTAGTCCACAACATTTGGAGTGCTGAAGGTTGCCTACCCCTGGCTTAAGGAAAACCATTTGTATTCCTAATGCTATAGTGTTCCTCTAGCTTGCTCTACTTGACAGGCAAAATGAACCAAAGTTTAGAATGTCATCTCCTCTGCCTTAGAATGCCATTATAAAAACAACCAATTTAAATAGCATTGGACAAACATATGTAAGCGTTTAAGAGCCAATCATTCTTTAATAGGGAAGAGACATAGCTAGGTCACTCAGTACAATAGTTCATAGTACTTGTCAAATCCGTTGTTTCTACTTCAAGGGACACTATAGGCATCAAAACTATTTTAGCTTAATGACGTAGTTTTGGTGTACAGGTCATGTCCCTGCATTCTCACTGCTCAAGTATCTGCTATTTAGAAGTTACATCACTTTTGTGTCTGTTTTATGCAGCCCTAGCCACAACTTCCCTGACAGTGACTGACACTGTCTGCATGAAAACAAAATGGTTTCATTTTCTATCAGATGAAACTATTTTTTATTTTATTTTTTTAATCTACTGCTCTGTAAATTGCACTTTAATCTCACAGGAGGCTCCTGCATGGTCTAAAGTTATTTACATAACAGGAGTTCAATTCTAAATTAAACAGAATTTGCAATAAAGGAAGTGTAAACATTAGATGACTCTTTTCGGGAAGTGTTTAGGAAGGCTGTGCAAGTCACATGTAAGAAGGTGTGACAAGGGATGCATAAAAAGTGATTTAACACCTAAATTGCAGAAAATTGAACAGTGAGAGTGCAGGGGCATGGTCTGTACACTAGGTCAGTATGCTAAAACTGCTTCATTAAACTAAAGTTGTTTTGAGGACTACAGTGTCCCTTTAAGCCAAGGTTGTTTTGGTGCCTACAACATCACTCATGAATGCTGACGCAGTGTTATTTGAGTTGTGGTTTATTCCCAAACATGCCATTGGTGGCATCCAAGAAAGTTTTATTTCAAGAGGAGTTATCAGGAAGGACCACAAGCCTTATATGTTGAAACAGAAGTTAAGGACATTAATGACACAGAAGAACATCAGAAAATAAACATAGGGCATTTGGGAGCAAGTTAAGGAGTCAAGCAAGCAGTCTGACCTTTTCTCCACTGGAATAGAAGAAATATCGGAGGCGCACAATGTTGCAGTGATCCAGCCTGCGCATGATCTGCAGCTCTCGGTTCTACAGGGAAAAAGATCAAAAACCACTGTTAGGGAGAATTTTGTTCAATGAGATTTCCCCCATACCATACTTACTATCATAAGGAAAAAAAAGGGGCACCTCTGTACGGTTAAGTGAAACAGCCCATTAGCAGATTTTACACTATTTAAAGGAGATAGTTTGACAAGAAGGCAGAAATAGGGACACGTTACATCCACTTTTACACTCAACAGGGCCAACTGTGGCAGCAGTAGCAAGTGCTCTTATCAACACATGCCATTTCTAACATTGTGAAATACCAGTATGTACATATAATTGACCTAGGCAGTAACTATAGTTGGTATCAGAAAGCTCGTTTCTCTACACATTGGAGAATGGACAATTCCACTTTAAAATTGGGAAAGTGCCTGCCAAAGAGTTCCTCAATCGTTCACTCAAGTAAATGCCACTAAAGTGTTGAAAAAGATTGAAAACCTCTGAATCCCACCTCCCGTACCACAAAAGCAAAACACTAAAACCCCCAATTCTGACAGCTGCACTTTAAATTTCAACTGAAGTTTATAGTGATCCATTAATGGAAGACACTCATTTTGTTTTGTGAACTAAAGTAGGTGGACCATTCTGCCACAACACATGATGAATGTCACGTGATTTGCCAAAAGCAGTTAACCAACACCTATTTCAAAGCAAATAAACAGCAAAGTAGCAAAAGTAAGTGGGTATTACTCTGGCCATCCCACGCCACAGGGAAAGATCAGATAGCCAGTATAAGCTCCTCTACACAGGCTGGGTCTGGTGAAGCAATACTGGTTAATCAGTGGCTAGCAAGAGATCAGCTCTGCAAGAATACACATTGACACACTAACAGGAGTTCATGAACCCTACCATCCTGCGCTAGACATGCTGAATTTTAGGTACTATGTGCAAGATAACTGAGGAGTAAAAAGTCTTAAAATGGTTGTACTTTAACTTTGTAACACAGACTGCCTATGTACTAATGCATGATCGTCCAACATGTCTCAGATAGGTTTTATAAGAGGAGAAAATAAGAACAGTTTTAGTACTTGCACACCTAGTACTAAGTGTGCAAGTAGTGAGAGATTGTATGGAATGCCATGATGAACATGGACTACATTTACAGCCACCCGCACTGGAAGGTTTGTGGAATAAATCAGTGGCTGTATATTATCCAAATCGTTTGGTAAATGAATCCAGAAGTGTCCACAATTTGTAATGACTTTTTTATTATTAAAGCCATGTCTCTTGGTAGAAAATGCAGGTTCTACTACTTCTAAAGTGACAAGCAATAGTGACTGAAGTTTCCATCCTGGACCCTAGTCTGTCACTGGAAGTTCTACAAGTCTATCGTGTAATTTCCAGCAGATGCACGCACATTGAATCTCATGGAAGATCTTCACTTGAGCAAATGAATGGAATCTTCCACTGAATTCCACTCACTTTGATGAGCCATATTTACAGAATTTCAATTAAAACAGCACCGGCCAGCTTTCCTCCATAAAGCACCTTGTGGAAACCCACACCGTACCCATGAACACAACCCATGATTATTTAGTATGTCTATGGGTCTAATAGTCTTGCATTTAGATAGACCCAAAAGAACAGGAGGGAATCTTTGATATTATGGACTCCTTAAATTTGGAGAAATTTCACCACCAACGTAGCTACTGCTGATTTATTTTGCTAGTTTTAGCTTTACATCAGCTTAGCCTTAGATATCAGGTATTCTGAAAGATAAAAAAATACCAGACAAGGAGTTAAGACAACAGCCTCGGAATAATATCTTGACACTCCCAAAGTAAACAATTTAAACTAATCTTAAATCACAATAGCACTTCTGGTCTCTGTTTAAATACTATCACCACACTATTGAACTGGAACTAGTAATGTGTCATCAGAAACAGTATATGTACCATCATACACTGCTCAAAAAAAATAAAGGGAACACTTAAACAACACAATGTAACTCCAAATCAATCACACTTCTGTGAAATCAAACTATCCACTTAGGAAGCAACACTGAGTGACAATCAATTTCACATGCTAATTGCCTATAATTTCCATCTGTTGTCTATTCCATTTGCACAACAAGACACCCCCAATAAAGGAGTGGTTCTGCAGGTGGTGACCACAGACCACTTGTTCCTATGCTTCCTGGCTGATGTTTTGGTCACTTTTGAATGCTGGCACTGCTTTCACTCTAGTGGTAGCATGAGACGGATGGCACATCAAAGCGAGCTGTGGCAAGAAGATTTGCTGTGTCAGCGTAGTGTCCAGAGCATGGAGGCGCTACCAGGAGACAGGCCAGTACATCAGGAGACGTGGAGAATGCCGTAGGAGGGCAACAACCCAGCAGCAGGACCGCTACCCCCGCCTTTGTGCAAGGAGGAACAGGAGAAGAACTGCCAGAGCCCTGCAAAATGACCTTCAGCAGGCCACAAATGTGAATGTGTCTGCTCAAACGGTTAGAAACAGACTCCATGAGGGTGGTATGAGGGCCCGACGTCCACAGATGGGGGTTGTGCTTACAGCCCAACACAAAGATTGGCAAATTCGCCACTGGTGCCCTGTGCTCTTCGCAGATGAAAGCAGGTTCACACTGAGCACATGTGACAGACGTGAGAGTCTGGAGACACTGTGGAGAACGTTCTGCTGCCTGCAACATCCTCCAGCATGACCGGTTTGGCAGTGGGTAAGTAATGGTGCTGGGTGGCATTTCTGTGGGGGGGCCGCACAGCCCTCCATGTGCTCGCCAGAGGTAGCCTGACTGCCGTTAGGTACCGAGATGAGATCCTCAGTCCCGTTGTGAGACCATATGCTGGTGCGGTTGGCCCTGGGTTCCTACTAATGCAAGACCTCATGTGGCTGGGGTGTGTTAGCAGCTCCTGCAAGACGAAGGCATTGATGCTATGGACTGGCCCGCCCGTTCCCCAGACCTGAATCAAATTGAGCACATCTGGGACATGTCTCTCCATCCACCAACGTCACGTTGCACCACAGACTGTCCAGGAGTTGGCAGTTGCTTTAGTCCAGGTCTGGGAGGAGATCCCTCAGGAGACCATCCGCCACCTCATCAGGAGCATGCACAGGCTTGGTAGGGAGGTCATACAGGCAACATGGAGGACACGGACGGACAGACACACTACTGAGCCTCATTTTGACTTGTTTTAAGGACATTACATCAAAGTTGGATCAGCCTGTAGTGTGTTTCCACTTTAATTTTGAGTGACTCCAAATCCAGACCCCCATGGGTTGAAAAATTTGACTGCCATTTTTTAATTTGTGTGATTTTGTTGTCAGCACAACCATGTAAAGAACAAAGTATTTCAGAAGAATATTTAATTCATTCAGATCTAGGATGTGTTATTTTTGTGTTCCCTTTATTTTTTTGAGCAGTGAATATTGCTTTCTTGGTTTCCTAACTAACTGCTTACTTCAACATAGAGGTATTTAAAAAATAAAATAAAATTATAATTCCACCAACTAGGCCTTTTCTGCTGTAATGTACCAGGGATAAAAATAAAAGTGATGTAGTTTCAGGATGGTTACCTCCACAATGACAGATCAAGTGCCAGTTCCAGCTTAATGTATAGCTTAGTTACAAAGCTCACTTAGATAGAAAGATTCAATTTGCATTACAGGTGGTCCTCGTTTTGCGACCTACCTGTTTTACGATGGCTCGCACTTACAACTAGCTCTCTTGCGGGTTGGTAAGTACGGGCCGTTGTGGTAATTAAAGGGATTCCCTGATCTGCTGCGTTAGCCTATGTTCATGGAAATGTCTCTGAACATAGACAAGCGCACCAGAGCAGGGAATCCCTTAACTCTACAAATACCGACCAATTCGTAGAAACTGAACCCGGTCTGTAAGTGAGGAGTGTCTGTATGGTCTTAAATTACAATTCAGTATGGTTTGAGATGACATGCAAGTGGATTCTTTGAACCAAACTCTGGAAATAAAAAATTCCGGTAACAGTGCCACTTGTTCAAAATATTGCTACAAAGAGTGATCGACCCAATGTTATAGAAAGCAAAACCATATTTCTAGAACATGTATGCAATAAAATACTGGCTCTCTGCAGTTAGTCTTTCACTGTCCTTTTCACTTACATCCGGTCAAACCAAGATCTCAACTATGTGCATTCCATGTGACCACATCTCCCCATCTTAAAACCACTGCTCACACCCCTTCATATGACTTCCTTGTATCAATCTCACTCTGGCTGCTCCCCCTTTATTTAGCACGAACTGAATAAGCAATGGGGGCTTTTTCAAACTCCTTTCAATAAACCAGGCATCCCCAAATTCAGGCCTCCCAGATGTTGCTGAACTACAACTCCCATGATTATCTGCCTATTTAATTCACAGAATCATGGGAGTTGTAGTTCAGCAACATCTGGGGGGCCGGAGTTTGGGGAAAGCTTGCAATAAACCATATTCTCTGTCATTTCCCCCACCTACTCCGAAGTATTGGATGGTGGGGGACGAGGGGGGTGGGGGGAGTTGAGCATCTCAAAACTTCAAACCTGTCTAGCTCTGCTCTCGCACTACTTGGGAGATTTTAAAGTCATCATATCACAATAAGCGCCCTTCACATGTCACCTTACCTACCTGGTGGCAAGGCTTTACCATCAGGTATGGGTAAGAATGAAGAACTATGCAGTTGAGAATGTGAAAAGGTAAATATTTAAGCACCACCAGACTTTGTAATAGTTTACCACATTTTCAACATTAAGCAACAGTTCTAATTGGTCACTATGCGGTCTGCAAACCTAGATCATAGAACAAACCTGAAATCCAAGTCAGAAATTACATGGAAGAACATGGTCAGAGGGACACCAAGCATTGTAACCACTTCATCCCACTGATGTGGTTATAGTGCCTTAAATTCTCTGGCATCAAACTCCTATTCAATGTTAAACCATTTTTCATATATTAGTGATAAACTAGAGTCCCCAAGAGCCTCATTCTCTGCATAGTCTAATGGAGGAAGTATTAGCCCGAGCAGCAGTTGGCTTTGACTACCTGAGAGTGTCAGTTGACTGCTTTCAACCCATCACTGCCAACCATTACTGGTATGACAAAGGATTAACCATAACTCCAGTGGGGGCTGGGCTGTGGGTATCCAGGAATCCTCAGTTAAACTGCTTGAAAAATGGTTTCATACTGAATGGAGAGACAGTGCCATATGAAATAATTCTAGTGTAACGTATTTCCAGTTTTCACATTCTTCCAGATCATCGAAGGCCTTAAAAAGTCACTGTCCTGATCACCCTTTGCATTACCTTGAATCGCTTGTCTTGTAATACTTTTTTGATGGCCACCATCTCTCCGCAATCCACAAGCCGTGCCTGGTACACAACCCCGAAAGAGCCATTTCCAATTACTTTGATATCTGTGTAGGAGACTTCTTGAGGGCGGTCAGGCCCCTGACCAGGGGTGGCCACTACAGTTGTCACTTTTCCATTGTCTCCTGAATAAAATGAAATATACAAAAAGGTGTGGTTACATCTTATTAGATTTATATAAAAAAAAAAAAAAAAAACATGCATTTTTAAACAGGTATTTTCGTGGTATTTCATGAAAGTGGGCTGTTGGTTCTATTGCAAATGTTAGCATCACCAAGTTAAGGGTTTCAGGACGTGAGCTCTAGACTCACATTTTATTGTGGTGGTTTAAATTAGTGCTGAAGTTCAGTTTTGAAGGCAGCAAAGAGCAGGTTTTTCAAGATGGGGCACAAAGGTAAATTGTTTCATTATATCTATAGCTGTGCAAAATGAATATGGTCAGAGACCAATGTATGCAACCAAGATAGTATGTTATATCTCGAAGAAGTTTATAAGAGATTTAAAGAACAAATTCTACTTAAACAGGCTCATAAACCGGTCTAGCAGCCATCACATCTGCATACCACTGCGCTCTTTGAATGGTTATACTAAAGTATATGCATGGTGCAATTTAAAGATGTTTAAGAGTTATATTAAAAAGTGTTACAGAAATTTAGTTGAGGTCACAGGTGTGATTTTGCCTCCGCTCTCATAGCAAGTAGTTGTGCAGGCATAAGCTTGCCTCAAATTACTTAGACCAGCAACCTGCAGTTCATACAATGACACTGGAGCAGAAATGTTATAGTTTTCATATTGGCCAACAGCATAGTATTAAACTAAATACAGAAATTAAGATTTATTTATGCAAATTTGGATAGTTCAACTTCAATGCATTCAAAGTCATAACATATCCTGTTTAAATGGCAGGTACATAGTAATCAGCGGTTAAAACCTTTAAAGGGAGAGCATGCACCATAAAGACAAAAGCTCCACGCAATGGTTAAGCTGCAATGAGACTATGGGCCTTTTACACATTTTCCCTTCAAAACAGTTTGAACAATTTGAAGTGGGAATTTGCTGCAGAGGGGCCAAGCTTCAGGTGCAGGGGAGAACAGTTTTTTGGAAAATCAAAGAACCCATTTTATGGCATTGCACCATATAATTAAAACGTAGTAACTATGTTGCTTGAACTGTCCTCTAAACATCTGGTTACTGCAAAGCTCCAGAAAGATTTCAAACAAATAATCTAGATCAGATATGAGACACAAAGTTGTAAAAAGGAGGTGCAATCCCCAAAGAATGAGCATTCAGATTTCAATATAGTTACCAGAATCATTTCCCAAGTTATTTAAAAAAAAATTCTACCTGTGGCGCAGGAAAGTAGATTTTTAAATGTAGCGTTCTATTCTAAATGTTTGTGTTACTGGCAGACCATTTATAAAAAAAATAAATAAATAACCAACCCACCCCAAACCAAAAAAAACCAAAGAAGAAATTTCACCAATTTGACACAATTTGTGCCCATCAACCAAATATGCTTCCTCGTACTCTGTGACAAGAGGTTGAAGAGGGCGAATTTTAAAAAAATATAACAGTCTTGTGACGGATTATGTTCTCAAACATAATTATATAGAGCACTTTCTGCGTACCTTTTGCACTACAGACGCCGAGACTATGGCCTTGTAAGACCTGTAGTCTGCACCAACTGGAGTGCACAGATCCAAAATTGAGCTATGCCAGGGTAGGCAACCTTTAGCAATCTAGAAGTTGTGGACTATATCTCCCATAATGCTCTAACATCCATATTGCTGACAAAGCATCAGGCGAGATGCAATCCAACACATCTGGAGTGCCAAAGATTGCTTAGCCTTGATGTACAATGAGGCACCCTCTCCTCGGGTGTATCTGAAATCCTGAGTTTGCCATTTTGGTGAGTATACACTGGGTGGGGTAAGAGTCCATGTCCCTCAATTATAGCTACCTAGGACTATTTGTCAGTACCTGGGTACATGTACACGGAGTGGGGTAAGTGGCCATGTTCCTCCAGTACACCCGCTCAGGACCGTGAGGGGCCCCCCCATTCCAATCACCCAGGACCGTGATGGCCCCCCCACCCCAATTACACAGGGACCCAGGACCGTGATGGCCCCCCCACCCCAGTTACACAGGGACCCAGGACCGTGAGGGCCCCCCGTTACACAGGGATCCAGGACCTGATGGCCCCCACCCCAGTTACACAGGGACCCAGGACAAGTGAGGGCCCCCGCTACACAGGGACCAGGACCGCGGAGGGCCCCCCACCTAGACAGGGATACAGGTAGGACTAGGATCGCGGGAGGGCCCCCTCGCTACACAGGGACACAGGGACCCAGGACCGTGAGGGCCCCCCGCTACACAGGGACCCAGGACCGTGAGGGCCCCCCCGCTACACAGGGACCCAGGGGACCGTGAGGGGCCCCCCATTACACAGGGACCCAGGACCGTGAGGGAGCCCCCATTACACAGGGACCCAGGACCGTGAGGGCCCCCGTTACACGGGACCCAGGGTTGGGGCCCCCGTTACACAGGGACCCAGGGACTGAGGGCCCCCGTTACACAGGGACCCAGGACCGTGAGGGCCCCCATTACAGGGACCCAGGACCGTGGGGAGCCCCCATTACAGGGACCCAGGACTGTGAGGGAGCCCCCCATTACACAGGGACCCAGGACTGTGAGGGAGCCCCCCATTACACAGGGACCCAGGACTGTGAGGGAGCCCCCCATTACACAGGGACCCAGGACTGTGAGGGAGCCCCCCATTACACAGGGACCCAGGACTGTGAGGGCCCCCCCATTACACAGGGACCCAGGACTGTGAGGGCCCCCCATTACACAGGGACCCAGGACTGTGAGGGGGGCCCCCCATTACACAGGGACCCAGGACTGTGAGGGGGGCCCCCCATTACACAGGGACCCAGGACTGTGAGGGCCCCCCATTACACAGGGACCCAGGACTGTGAGGGCCCCCCCATTACACAGGGACCCAGGACTGTGAGGGGGGCCCCCCATTACACAGGGACCCAGGACATGGGTTTAACCAGTTCCTGTAACTGGAGCTCAATGACCCTGAGTCAAGGCTATATCGCTGTAAGCGCTCAGTGGGAGTCTAGCTCGGGGCGGACAGTGAGCAGATCTCCGCCTGTCATAGAACTCCAGCTCCCATGATCCCCAGCCCGGTCTGACCCGGGATCACAGCCCCCCTCCCCCCGGCCGCCATGTTTGCAGCCCCCTCCTCACATACTCACTTCCCAGCTTGATGGCGCTGAATCCCCCGGGGATGGAGGGCCCTCCGCCCGCAGCCCCCGCGGACACGGGCCCCTTGGCAGCTCCAGCCTGGCCCTGGTCCCCGAAGGCCTCGGTCCGGGCCCGGTTGGCGCTGCTCATGCTGAGGAGCGAGGCGTACAGACGCTGAATGGTGCCGGACTCGGCGGCTCGCTCCCCGCGTCCGCCACACACACTTAGCCCCCGGGCTCCAGGCCGCTCCGCGCGGCTACCTGGGAATACGAGTCCGCTCTCCGCTCCGGAGCGCCGTCTGCCAATCACAGGAGAACCGCGCTCTGACTACACTTCCCAGAACGCCAGGCGACAGGGGCGACACCGCGCGCAAAGCACGACGGGATCTGAGTCCGAAAACGGGCGGAAGTCCATGCACAGGTATCGGGAGAGGACGACAACTCCCGAAAGCCTCCGCGGCAGCAGGAAGCAAGGCAAGCAGGGAAATAACTCCTCCGTCTGTTGTGTGAAAGGAATGGCGGAAGTGCCTTAACTACAACTCCCGACCTGCACTGCGGCAGACCACCTTAAAAAGACTAGGAAATCGGGAAGGCACTTCCAGTCAGTGACGCAAGCAGCAGCCGCCAATCAGCGAGCTCCCAGCAAGCAATGTGGTTTACTGTTAGGGGCGGAGCTAAGGCACTCTGGGTTCTGGAGGTTTTAGGGCCCCCCTCCCTCGGCACCGCCCACAATCACGGGCGGAAGTACGTGGTCGCCATGTCTACTACTGGCGGAAGTTAAAGTTTAGCGCGGGAAATTAAATGCTTGCAGCTGGCCAGGCTGTGATTCTCATTATGGGATGAAATCAGAGAGGAGGGGGGGAGAGAGAGATGGGATATTATAGATAATGATTGGCACACCAGCTGTATTAGTGAAGGTTCAGCGTGTACCCATTGTACAGCGCTACGGACGTTGCTGGCACTATATAAATAATAATAAAAAATTAAAATGCCTCATAAAACCCACGAACTAGTCACAGTCAGGATATTTATTCCCAGAGAAACCCGCGGATTATTACTATGACGACGTCTTTTGGCATTTATATAGCGCCAACACATTCAGTTTTACAATATTATAAAAAGAGGGAAATTTAACAATAAAATTAGACAATTCTGAAATGTTACAGGAACGATACGTTGAGGACATTGCTCAAAACGAGCGTACAGTCCCAAACCGCCTTCCCCACCGGTCCAGGAGTAAGTGATTACCCAGCGGTGTCTAAAGTGTTTTTAGAAAATAATTTTTAAAAAACACATTTTAGGCACAACGGGATAATCCCCAAATCGTGAGGACTGGTTTGGGAACCACTTGTCAAGAGGATTGTCTTTGCAATTCCAATTCAAAGAGAAAAAGCAACCCACCCAATAAATACCCAGTAAGGATAAGTGGCAGTCATACTGGGACTGTGACTGCCCCACCCATTGAAGTGGTTATAGTGGATGGAGTCTTAAGTATTAGTGTAAGCCCATCACAGCCATCCCGAGCTGGTATGGCTCAGGGATAATAAAAAAAATAAAAATAAAACATCTACAGCCAAATGTACTAGTTATGATGCCATGAGTACCCTGGTGCGGGTTCCTGGTCACGGGGCAAGCCGTTTGCAGTGGTTTTCCTTCTTACCTGGCTCACCACCGCGGGAGCAGCTGTGGCCATTTCTGACTTTCGGCTGCCGCAGAAGCTGCTTGTTTACCCCACAGCTAATTATTGCCTGACAGCCAATGAATGCCATGCTGTCCATAGAAACATGTATAAAATTGACATTAGCTTTCTGGAATTCTAGTTCCAGTCTGGTTAAAGGGACACTCCAGGCAGCCCTTTTTACTCACCTCGTTCCAGCACCGGGATCCTTGTGAAGCCGCACCCCCTATTTTGTCAAAATTACAAAATGGGTAGGCGCGAGCAGGGAGCAAGCAGACGCTTCCATTCGGAAGCTTGAAGTCCTGAGCACACTACTGCGCATGCGCGCAAGCTGAGCTGACTGACAGCTCAGCTTGCGGTCTTTGCCCGCCCCCCTCCTCTGCAGACAGGCAGGAAAGAGAAGGCGTCACACAGTGCCTTCTCTCTCCTGCACACGTCAGACATATTTTAATACGTCTGACGTGTACATGGCCTTTTTAGGGCCATACATGATAGGAAGTCCCTTTGGTGGTCGTCTTAGTGATGGCCACTGGAGGTATTCCTATCAATCAATGTAAACACTGTATTTTCTCTGAAAATACAGTGTTTACATTAGATTGCCTGCAGGGAGCTATAGATCTCACCTGAACAACTACATTAAACTGTAGTTCAGGTGACTATAGTGTCCCTTAAAGGGACACTATAGTCACCAGAACAACTACAGCTTATTGAATTTGTTCTGGTGAGTAAAATCATTACCTTCAGGCTCTTTGCTGTAAACACTGTCTTTTCAGAGAAAATGCAGTGTTTACATTACAGCCTAGTGATAACGTCACTGGCCACTCCTTGGATGGCTGTTAGAGATCCTTCCTGGGTCATGGCTGCCTAAAATGCATCCAAACATTCAGTGTCTCCTCCCTCTGCATGCAGACACTGAACTTTCCTCATAGAGATTCATTGATTCAATTCATCTCTATGAGGAGATGCTGATTGGGCAGGGCTGTGTTTGAATCATGCTGGCTCTGCCCCTGATCTGCCTCTTTGTCAGTCTCAGCCAATACTATGAAGAAACATTGTGATTGGATCAGGCTACCACTTCTGATGATGCCAGTAGACTGCTTTTTTTCTGAGACAAACAGCATGCAGAGTTACAGCTTCAGGCTTGAATACAGTTGCTATAAGAGAATAAGAGTTGCTATATTTATGGATGCATGAGGGTCCCAGGGGGCTAGATGGTGGTTTTAACCCTATAGGTTCAGGAATACATGTTTGTGTTCCTGATGCTATAGTGATCCTTTAAAACTACAGGGACATTGAGATAAAGTGGTCTGGGTACCTATAGTGTCCCTTTAAAGCCTGGTGGAGATTGGATATTTCCCCAAGCATGTATGTGCTAAATCTTTCACCTCAGAGGAAAATCCTATCCAGTCACGGGGTATCATTTACCCACTCAATCCCACAAGTTGGAGGGACGAAAGAGCAGCAGCTTAGGTCTGATCAGAAAACTGAGGAGGCTCAGTGATGGAAGTGATGCAAACTTTAGGAGAGAGTGTGTTCCAGTATCGTATCCAGTGCTTGTAGGCACACACCTACAGACAAAATGTCTGCCTCGTATCACCTGGAAGGGCCACCAGAAGAGGAGATGTAAGTGCCACCTTGGAAACCCAACTAATAATGCACTGTGCTGGGGACAGGTCTTTGGATGCGGGCCACCAGGGAACAAACCCAGGATGGTGGGACAAGATTTTCAAATAGGCACTGTATGACCAAAATGACAGCCGAGAGGCCTGGACATAGGAATGAATGTACTATAAAAGTTGTCTCTATAGAAGAAAGGATCCTTTCAGTATTAAAAAGTTAATCTTGTACTGCAGCAATCACTGCCAGATGTCATGTCACATGAACTGACTAACACATTCTTCCAAATTAAAGCCCCAAGGATAGGCGACAACTTCCACAGAAACAGGACAGCAAATTGAGGGAAAAACAAGTTTTACCGGCTTGATAAGCACTTCCAAACAAAATGGTTGCTCCAACAGCTTTTTGGTTTTGTTTCCGTGACCTACGGGCATTATATTTAAAGCAGCGTTCAATTAAATAAAAAATTCACACACTGATATAAAAATTAAATCCAACACATTCATGCACATGTAGGATCTGTACTTCAAAACAGCAAAGTTTGATTAGAAAGATTTTTACCAAGTTTTATTTTTGCATGAATACTAAGCAAATCGGGGTAATTGTGCAATTTCTTTCTCCTTAAAAAGGTTTATTCAATAAACACCACGTTTTATGAACGGCAGGGGTCTATGGAAGTTTATTCACAAAGACAGCTCCAATCATAATTTAGGATGATAGTAACTGCTTTGTAAATGGATAACTGTCATACATAGGAGGAGGTACTGACAGATCAGCCGGCACACATAGAACAGCTGTGAGGGGCAAGTGAGAGCTGCAACAATTTCTGCACATCTTTTCCGTTCTAAGCCACTGTCAGAGCCGAAAGTAGGCTCAGAATGCTCAATGCACAATCATCTCTGCATTTATAATGAAGGACAACGATAACCTAAATCACTTAAAAGTTATGTAAAATAATAAGCTGCTTACGCATAAATCTCCTGTATTTGCAGCAAAGGCTTTGCTGTGTTTGTAAGAAGCGAACACCAGCAGCTGAATGGAACAGTCAGAACACAGAAGTCATGACGTCATATACTGCAGTTTTTTGGTGCAAAAAAGGAAGCACTGTTTGGGACCGAGGGGCAGAAATTTTAGGGTTTTGAGGAAAACCAAAATATTAAATTTAAATAAATAAACCAGCCAGTATAAGAAAGCTACACAGTGTATCCAATACATGGACGCATGTAGAGTTTACGGTCTGGTAGTTTGTGCTTATACAAATCTCATATCATCCCCAATATCATATACACAGCTGTGTGTGAGGTATTGCAGGATACCGCATTCAGCATTGGAAAAGTGGAAGGACTGATGAACACGTCCTGCAAGAGTGCTATATGCATTGTCCGTCTTAAAGCGGCAATTGGCTGCAGTCCTCCATAGACCTCAATGTTGTACTCTCTCTCACACATGCATAAAAGTACAGCAGTGACGCGCAGTAGTTTAAGAGGAGCAGGCAGTGAAAGACTGTGGCGCCTGCAAGGGACAGGTTCAGGTAAGTAAAACTTGCCTCCCCCCATTGACAACGGACATATTCAGCAAAGTCCCCAGACTGTGACGGTGCTTTAATCTATATACTATGCCACCTTAAATTCCCAGCAAAAAGGCTTACATAATTTCACATAGCTTTTTTTAATTTTTTTTTTTTTTTTTTTATAAAAGCACCAATACATTTCACTGCACTGAACAGGAAAACTAATCCTACAAAAAATAAACAAACAAAAAAAAAACACACAAAACCCCCCCAATAATCTGACTTTTTTTTTTTTTTGTGTGGTTATTGGGGCCTTGCTCAGCCTAGCTGTCTAAAGAAATCAGGTAAAGATTTCATAAGGTAAAAAAGGCATGGTTTCCAGGGGGAAGGTTAATCGCTAGCCTACAGCCTAAAAGGCTACAAACACTATAGGATATATAGAGGACGAAGTGGAACACAGTTCGTAAAGACGTGGGAGGTGAGAAGTGGCGGAATGCTGCGAACCTGGTAAATTAACCATATAGTTGAGAAGCATTAAGAATACTTGTGGAT